ATATTTGAATATAATCTAATTCACTTACGCTTAGAACACTTTGGACTTCGACCGTCTGATTCACCGGAATTCTGTTATTTGCTGTATGACTCCCAGTCGTTATCATTCAACTCTATCTTATAATTTAATCATAAATTAGCAATAATTGATTATCCAGAAACTATTCGTCGACTGACTCTCGACTAGCTTTCAACTACTCTCCACTGACTTCACGTATGTAATAGTCAATGTTTATATAAAGAGAACCACTCACATTTGCATGAATCAAGTGTTCTTCTTCAGGAGAAAGTTTTCAATACAGCAACAGCTAAAAAGAGACAAGTTTAAATGGGATTAGGTACAGGTTCACACTGATATACCTGCTACAGAGAATTTCAGGAGACCGCTCTTCACCTGCTTGGATTTGATGTCGGAATAACGGCTTTGCACCTGGTTCTATGGTTTTGTGCAACTATGGGTTAGAGGATATTAACATCTCTAGTTAAAATCGACGATACATTTCTGACATCTTGCGTCCCGAAGTCATAGAGTAACATCAAGGCTATCAAACGCCATCTACCAACAAGATAATTGAAAACGACATGTCGTGTTCTGTCCTTAATCGATACCCAAGATATTTCATTCTTACCCTGGTCTGCACGTTCTCTGGACCAGCCACCTATTTAAAACTAGATTGTTGAGAGTCTGGCTAGCCACCCCTCTCCAGCTATTTCGACTAATAAAGTGTGACATAGACTTGAAGCAGCATAGAATGAGTCTCCCGTTTTTGTCATACAAGCCCAGGTCGACTCTATACCTAACCGGGTAGGTGTCGTTTTAGCTGCTTGGCAGGGCCACTGTTTCTATTAATACATCACTCACGTAAGCTCCGAGACTGCTTACAAATTTGATTATTGTGTTCTTCATGCCATATTATTTATATATAATAACTGTTTTTTTATATTTTCTTTCGTTCATTGTGTTACAAATTTAGAGACCAGTATATATATATATATATATATATATATATATATATATATATATATATATATATATATATATATATATATATATATATATATATATATATATATAATGTATATATTATTTTTAAAAAATATTCACACACATTAAGAACTAATTTTAAATTCCTTTTTATCCTGTTCAAAGCAATTTAAAGAAAGAAAGCTTTGAAAAAAGTCTGCGTACATTTTAAAATATTCTTGAATTACTCTTAGACGGCGTAACATTTTTCAAAGAAATAATTTTAAAAAAAATAAATAAACCCGACTGCAGACTGAAAAAAAGACTTTTTTTTTTGCATGGGCTTAACGAGATGACTGTTTTTTCTAATTCTCGGTGTTGGAAAGCGTTAATTTAGAAGAAAAAAAAAAGTTCTAATCTTTTGCCTTAAAAAATTATTTATAATAGGTTGCAACATTGCAAACGCTTAATCCCTTTTTAAAACAGGAATTACCTTGTGTTTTTTTCTTATCACTGTTTTATTTTATTTTATGCCAAACGATTTGTCTTCATTTACAGTTGTTTGATAGAATATTTTAGATATTCTTATTGTGTTGTTTCTGTTTTGTATTCTTTGAAAATATTGCAAAAGACTATTTCTAATAAATTATTTTAATGTTTTTTTCCTCAAGTGAATACTTACTAGAGCTTAATATTAAAGCTATACCATAATAATTTTAATCATTAAACATGTAACCAAGCATTTAAAAATAGTGAAATGAATTATTTGAAGAATATTATTCATTTAATGGAAAAAACATTGTTTATTTTCGGATTTTTTAAATACATTTAAAAATAAGTAACACACACTGAACCTTTTCACATATGTTAATTCGAAATATCTTTGTAATGGTATATAACATTCACCCACAATACATGCAAACGGTTGTACCTTTTTATTTTACGCTTACTCTTTTTTTTATTTGGAAACTTAATTTGAAAATAGATCTACATTTCTGAATTACTTATTTGACTTTTTTTTACCATGTATTATTCTGTGAAATAAACTATATTTGTATGAAAGGTGTTTTGAATTATTAAAAAGTATAACATAGCACGACTTATCTGGCACAACTAAAAGAATTTTCGCAATTGGTTTTATCGTTTCATAGAACACAACAACGCTTTTGGATTTGTTTGTAGTAGTTATTCTTTTCTAATGAAATACTATGGATCTGACACACTCCAGACGCTGGATTGGTAATGTAGATCCAGTTTCATGGCAACCAGAATCACCAGAACTCACATTGTTGGATTTTTTTTCTATGGGTCAATCTCAAGAACTTGGTGTTTTGTTGGAGAAGTGACCCCACACACAAATGGACTAAGTTGCTTGTTCGCAGGTAGCTTGTACTTCGGCGGGCAACGTGCTCGTAAGACGTGAACAATCATTCATTCCACGGTTCATTCAAGCCTGCCTCGATATGCACGGTGGGCACTTTCAATTTCTACCTTTTTTATATTTTTGCAAATGCTGCTATTGATATTCCAATACCGCTTTGTACCGGCTGTGACGCGTACTTTTCTCGTAAACTATGTTTCGCGGTCCAAAGGTCGCAGGTGTAAAAGGGTTTGAAGAAGAAGCAAACATGATCTTAAAAATGGCTACTTTTATTCTACCTTTAGTACTTTATGAAACAACTTTATTTACAACTCTATAGCTTAACTCTGGGAGCAATCTGAAATCCTAACACGTAATCCAATATATAAAATAATGGAAAACCACTTAATTTCATTCAAAGCTCTTTATGCGATCCTTCTCGAATTCCGATAGCTCGGTCAGGTCCAACGATATTTACTTCCACACACCTGGTAGACTCTAAAATAAATGTTCATTTCAGGATGCGCTATCTCTGTGTCACAATTCACATTTTCTTATTCTTGGATCTCAATGATTAACCGTTAAATCCACATATAAGGGGTTTTTAAACTAAAATCACGGTTTGAAGAATAGTTCCTCTAAGAGAATTAGTAGAAGAACCCGAGTAGTACCTGTCATAAACATCGTACATATACAGTTCTTTGGGCAATTTTCACGTTATCCCAACGAGGTCCCTGGCTGATCAGGATTAAGGAGCTTCTTTTGGGACACTCTGTAAATACATACATGTATGTATAAAGTCTATACAGAGAGGAATAATTTCTTCACCTATTTTTATGTTTTGAAGATATAAAAGCATGCATTCAAATAACAAACACTCACTGATGGTTTTTTAAAAAAAATTGTAAATTAATAAATATGTTTCGCTTTTCATAGAGACCTGTGTTCTGGTATATACATGAGAACAGTCAAATTGTTCGAAACAAATTTAACTTCACCAATCTGTTTTTTGTAAAATGGTTCGAATATTAATTCCTGATATTTGTGTCTTAATCATGAAAATAAATTTTCTTTCTCAAACAGTTCATGATATGTCTCAACTAATTAATAAAATAAATCTCAAATAACCCCTATTTGCTACTTACCTATAAATTATCCTCTTTCTGTTTACTAATTTACTAAATACACTGTAGTAAATATGCATGTAGAAAATAATTCAATACTATATCATTCAATTTAACTATTTTGTGCTTTAAAATTCAAATTGACAATTTATGGCAAAACCCTTATCATTTAGCTTTATTCAGAAAATAACAGAAATGCGGATAACTGTATCAAAAGTATTTCTTTAAGTTTTCACTATATCCAAGTGAATTCTTTTCTGTAAGTTCAATAAATTTTATACTGATTTCTGTACTACTGGCTGAAAGCTATGAAAGAAAAATTTTAACGTATTTGTGTATGTGTTGTTAACAATGTTCACTTTAAATTCACCCTATTAGAAATATAAAATTATTATTTCAAACTTCGGTATAATGTTTTCATAGTACATAATCAATATTTCTATATGTTTTTTGTTCAAGTTTAATTGCAAATTATTGCTATTATATGCAAAAAATCTGATAAAAAAATATGGAGTTTTTTTTAAGGAAAAAAGATGTTTATATGTGTTTTTCTTTTATGAATGTAACATCTACCTTTATAAAAACGTTGAAAATTGATTGTTAAGTACTTTTTAAAATTACAAAAAACCATTCTTTTTCATATAGAAAAGGTGAAAGTTAAAAATTATTTTTACTGATTTCTTGGTGGTCCCCTATCACTGGAAAGTATGTGTCAAATAAGGTGTTTACAACCTAAAGTTGCAAAATGTTTTTTTTTTCAAATATTTCTCTAGTGTTTGGAAGAAATGCAAAGAACTAAATCCAAAGTGTCTCACTGGCTTTGCCGTATCGGATGTATCTGGTGTCAAAAAAGAAATCCTGGTATTTTTTCATAGTTCGAATCGATATTTTTCTTGGCTCTCAAATATGTGGGGGCGAAATAATACTGAAAGGTTTTCTTCTTTTAAATGCAAATGTATTATGCGTCATTTTTCTTTATTTATTTTCAAAAAATTGGTTTTCTCCCGAAGTAGGAATGTGCTAAAGATTTGTAAGAATTTACATATATTTCTTCAAAACAAACTTCATCAGTTAGAGGCTGGCATTCAAAGTCAAAAGATTAATTCTTTTACCTGATTTTGAGATTTTTCCAATTTTCTCAAACTATTTTTTATTTATTTTCAACTTGTATATAGAAAACGGGTTTGGTTATGGTTAATTGAATTTTCCTTCCTTAAAATTTCAATTATTTATACTAGTTATTTGTTAGCATTATCAACAAAGAAAAGCAAATATTTTTATAAGCATTTACTTTTATCAAAAATTTTAGATATTTTTTGCATACTCTCGTTACTTTGGTTCCAAATGAAGAAGAAAAGACATTTTTTAAAAAGAATTTATTTGTCTCTATTTTATAAATTTTTTGGAGGTCAAATATATAAGAACTTTTTCTAAAACTGTATTTTCAAAGACAAACACAAATCACGCAACTTAGAATGAAAACTAAAGAGATCCATAATAAAGTAACAATAAAGTCTTAAAAATTGAACTAAATATCTAACAGCTTTTACATAGCCTCCGTGGCGCAATGGGTTAGCGCGTTCGGCTGTTAATCGAAAAGTTAGTGGTACGAAACCACCCGGAGGTGATCTGTTTTAGTACAATTTTCTATAACTTATTGCTAAATTGTAAAATTCTCATGGTAAATATCAGAAAAATGAAAAATTAATTCGGTGAATGTTAAAAAAATAGGACCCAAATTCAGGGAATACTTGTTCAGGTATAAAAATACTCAAACATTAATATTATTTTCTGTCTTCGCTATCCTAAACTTAATCACTTTTTTTATCGTAGAAATCATTTTAATCGAATTTGACCGATTTTTTTTTCTGGTATAAAATGTGATTTCTATTTTTTCTCCTATATCGCAATGCTAAATGAGCTATTCCTTTACATGTGAAAAAAAGAAACTAATTATTTATGAAATATATTGAAAATTTTAAAACACTATATTAGAAACAATTGCATGAGTTACATTGTCCCAAATTGTTCATAAAATATTAGATATTTTTTCTGTGCTAAAATGGTCTTCACGTTAAATTCACGCTATCGTACATATACGGCGAAAACAGTCTTAAACCTTAATGTTTTTTTTCCCTCATTGCTTAGAATCTCAATTCTTAATCATTAAGTTATTTATTTACTTGGAATTTTCTTTTCCAATTAAGCTGCGGATTGGTCGGAATATTTCTGCAGAATATAAATATCCTATGAATTTTAACATGTTATTTTTAATTAAAACATATCTAAAAATTAAAACGTATGTGATGATTACGTAAGCACTGGGACAAAGAACTAAATCAAACCTAAAAGGACCACGCGAAAACCTTTATTTCTAGTTACACTTTCGTGCAATGGATTCGTTATAGCATATACGAAAATGTTCTTGCGAAAGCGGCTACAAGCAATCCTGTGGATCCTTAAAACCACATGGTCCTTACATCGACTGAGATCTACTACAGGGCTAAGGAATTAATATGTAGAACCTGGGTAGTCCCTCCTGTACGTCCATGGTACTTTCAAAGACACCCTGGATCCGCCATATCATTCAAGGGTTCCAGATCATATCAAACAGCATTCTCACGATTTTCGACTGGTCACCTGAGGTGCATGAATTTTGAGGGTGGCAAAAGAAGCTTCCCAATTCGCCCCAAATGTAACATCAGTTCCATTCCTCCTCAGCACATTCCGCGATGTCTGGGTTTTTTTCTGTGAGAAGGCTGTTGCATCCCCCCTGCTGTTCTTAGACTTTGTACAGATTTATGGACTCATGAATCTGGTCTAGTTTCACTATACCAGGTGGGGATTAGTCCCACCACCACCACGAAAATGTTTTTGATAAACATTTTAAAATTATAAAAGTTTTGGTAGATTTTTATTAATGATGAAATTGTTTCTTGTAGATTTCAAATAATAATTATGATTTTAAATTTTTTACGCATATTTGAACATTAAATAAATAATTCAATAGATATACGTTATAATTGAATTACTAATACAGAAATTTCGAGAACTATGTTAAAAACGTCTTGCGTGAACTTTTAAATAAACAACAGAAAAACCCTTCACTTGGATGAATCTATTTGAAATGCAATTAAATAAGGTGGCTCGTAAGCAAAGTTTGAATCTCGAACAGCATTTTGAACGTAAATTAATATATGATTTTAAGGAAAATATAGATATAATTATAGAGTAACATATTGAAAAGTTCTAAATGCACTTATAGATTACAAATACTAATGACTGAAGAAAACATGTTTCGGAGATATTTATTCATAATCATATAATATTTTATAATCCAAATCTTCCATGAATTTGATTTCTTTTGTGTGTTATACAGCTTCTAGTAGTGTTTTCAAAACTTTTGAAATGAAATTTATTTTAAGATTTTTTCCCTATTTACAAATATAAAAATATATTCAACAATTTTGGAGGATATTATTATTCGTACAAGTTACAGAAAAGTATTACAAATATAATGTGAAATAGGTTAATCTTCCTATATATACTAGGAATTTGAATTTATTATTATCACTGACGTAGTCATTGCATTCAATGTTATTTTATTAATGTTCTATTAAGATTATGTAGTGTGTTGTGGCCTAAACCGTAAGGGTACAGTGCACTAAAAGTTGCTGAAAGAAAATGAAATGGCCGTTACTGTTCGCAACTTAATATTTTGAATAAAGACATTCACAACATAACTCTGGCCAACAAAAAGATCGTGATTTTTCTTCACATCACTACACTATACGTAGTAAAAAACACAGCATAAAAAATTGCAGAGTTGGGTTGAGAATTCTTACCTAAGGCACCATATACTCCTGATATTGCCCCATCTGATTATAATCTGTTCAGGTAGCTGTGAAACTTTCTTGATGGAAATAAAAAAAAATATGAGTGTCAAATATACAGTTGTAGAATACTTTGTCACTAAATCAGAACACTTCTTTTCACGGGGGATCAGAGAAGCTCCTAGAACACGGGTAGACAGTTGTAACTAACACAGTAAATTACATTTTGGATTAAATTTTAAAGAAAAAGTGAAAACATTTCTTGTTTTTTCTTAGGAAAAACAGCCGACAGTGCTTTCATTTACAGCCAATAATATAAACAGTCAATCCATTAAATCATCAAAGTACGAATCAAAAAACACTGAGTAAAAAGCCAATAAAGTCTGTAAGCCATGACACTTTTATACCCTTGCTGCACGGTGATTTTTGTTTCAAGTTAGTTATAAAGCGCTATATATATATATATATATATATATATATATATATATATATATATATATATATTGCTTTAACTAAGTTTCCATAATACCGAAGTGTAAGAATGGTGAATGCAATCACGTTCTTTCAGTTAATCAGGTCATGCACCAGGGACGTAGCGACCACCGTATCAGCCGTATCAATGATACGGGGCCCCAAGCGGCAGGGGCTCCAACTGCAGTCCGATAACAGGGCTTTCATATGAAAAACAGGGTTCTTAAGGATTTTTGATACAGAGCCCACTCAGAACTGGATTCACCAGTGTCATGCGCCTCTTTGTTGTCAATCATGAATTTTCACAGAAACTTGCTTCTTCGTTCTTAATACTTGGATATCCTTACTGAATTATTAAATTTCAAATTGTGTGTATCTGTATTTCGTAAAACAACTACAATTCTAATGCAAGCTTTGAATTCAACGAAAAAGACGCAATTGCATCCATCTTGTAATTGTCATGAATTTAATCCAAATAAAAATATGAATTTCACACTGTTAATGTTACAATATCCTTTACGTTGAAAGTTATGATCAAAAGCAATTCACAATAATATTTGCGAAGTAAAATGTTGTATAATTTCCTGCATTTTGTAAAAGCGATTACTTCTGTAGTTAAATAAAAAAAAACTGGATTGAAAATTTCCACCCTGGTAGGCTGAAAAAAACATTTTAAATAATTAATGTATGGAGTAATTAAGAATAAAAAAATAATGTAGAAAAAATAAGTAACTTACAAAATAAATATAAGTATGATACCTATAACACTGCTGGCCACCGTAAATGCAACACCCAGAAAGTATGCAAATAACAGGAAATTTACAACATGCATTAGCGGAGGTAATATATCCAAATTATATTGTAATTTCAGCTCAGACGCACATCACGCGTGCCTGTGGAGCCACCTCAAAGAACTATTTAAGGCTTGGAGATTTCGACGAGTTCAAGTTTTGCAATTGTATTTTTCTTGTGTTTTTTTTGGAAAAAAACCGATCATTTATGTCTTGTAGAAAACAGCGATCAGCTTTTGATTAAGTATCCGAGTTTGAAAGAGGAAGGATAGTGGCCTACCGAGATTGTGTATTATCTTTCATAGAAATCGGTAGTCGTGTTGGACGAAACTAAACAACTGTAGTGCAGATATGTGACCATTGGATGAAGGAGGAAACGATAGATCGACGTGGATGATTACAGCCACCTCAGAGCAGCACTTCATGTGAGGACAGGTAAATTGTGTGCATTGCAGTCACGGATCTCTGAGTCATATCAGAGAGGATACTAAACAGCTGTGTTATACACCACCACACTGGTTCTACACCGGTATTATAATATGGGGCGGTATGGGATATCCCTCTCGCGCAATCCTCTAGTACACATTGCCAGTACTTTAAACAAACAGCGGTACATCTCCGAGGTGTTGGAGCCAGTTGTTCTTCCTTATCATCAGGGCTTGGCCACAGCCATATTTCAACAGAATAATGCGCGACCGGATCTTTCGCCGATAGATAACATGTGATCCATGGTTGCTCAACTATTGACCCAGATAACACCCCAGCTGCCACACCAGATCAATTTTGGCAACGTGTGGAAGCTGCTTGGTCTGCTGTACTCCAAGAACGCATCCAAAGTCTCTTTGAATCAATACCGAGGCGTGTGACAGCGGTGATATCCAGCAATGGTGGCTACTCTAGCTACTTATTCTAGCAGGAACCATACTTCAAAGAAGTCTATAAATTTAATCATTTGATACTGGGTCAACATGTTATCTACAAAATAATTTTGTTGTGCTATCTCTTGTCTTTCTTGGGGTTGCATTTATGGTGGCCAGCAGTGTATTAAATTAAAGTAAATATTTCACGATTTTTATTAAATATGTTTTAAACATAAGAAATTTGATAAATTCTGAATGAATGAAAATATTTTTTTTCTTTAAGTATAAATCATTTAAACAATTGTAAAATATATCGAATTTATGTAAAGTGAAATGATTTTTAATGAGTAATTGCTCAAACGCTTACAACAATGCTATAACAAAATAATATGGAACATGAAAATTTATTGCTACCAATTAAATACTTACACTAAGAAGAGTAAAAAATAATTATAATAAAATATTACAATATTTTATATCATCATATTATACATAAATATATATATATATATATATATATGATATTTCCCAATGAAATGGATGTTAGAACGCATTTGGATATTTCATTGAGTTGTTTTGAAGGTAACTGTTTGATCTCGACAAAGGTTTGATTTTGCTTTTTCACACCTAACTTCACACCTGAGCTACATAATCATTATATGTTTTGAGAAC